ATGAACTTGTATCGTCATTCATCCTTATTTTATTTTGTGAAATCTACATCTTTTAGTCCCAAAACTATGTGTTGTGATCTTTCTTTTATGTATTGCATTATAACTTTTTGTGAACAATCTGTACATGACAGAGAAAAATGGATACCTTTTTTGATAATTAAGGTATGAACTTCAATGTGGGAAGGGTAAATGTACCATTGTAAGAGAAGTATGTGCAGAAGTATTATCCACACAGATGTAGAAATACACTGTCTATCAGGTTTAATTTCTGTTTTCAAGTCTTTTATGTGGAAGAAAAAAAAATTAGGTAAAGAGGAGATACAGGTGCTCAAGTCCACAATGACTCACATCTGAAAACTACTGTTCATCATTTGCATCATCTGTGAATTCTCGCTAAAGAAGTAATGGTACTCCCCTTTGCCAGAACTATGCTTCTTGGTGTGTGGAGTATCAGGTTTTTGCAAGTTAACAGTGCCTCTTCATGCACCATTCATACTGAATTGTGCAGAATTTCACCCCGATATGAACAGTGTAGTAAAGCCTAAGATGACTAAATTAAAAATAACTACTGTTGGATAAATAAAAAATAGAAATCTATATCCAGGTTCTGAAATAGTAGAAATAAATATTCATCCAACTATCCACTTGTATATATGTATACTCACAATTACTGTGATTATTATAATTATTCTTATTATTTTTTGTCACAGAATGCCCCCATAATTTCTTTGGCTACGGTTGCTCTCAGAAATGTCCTCCTTGCACTCATGCCCTGCCAGGCTGTGATCATATTACTGGTCAGTGTTTGTGTCTTCCTGGATATACAGGATTTACTTGTTCTGAAGGTGAGGAACTGTAAATTTTAATGTTACCTTTTATTTTATATGAAATCTAACAAGTTTGTATTTGGTTTTAGGTATAATTTAGAATCATGCATGTTTTTTTTTATTTTATCACTGTAGTGTATGTTTGAAAGATATTGTTATCTTTATTACTTAGTAAATGTTATTCCTAATTGGCTTTATAAACACTTTTCCTAAACTGTTTATGAATCAAATTACTTGCGAGTCCATCTCTTTGTTGGATCCTTAATAACATGAGTCACTCAAAAAATGTAAACAAAAATCTGTCTTTATTTTTGCAGTTAATCTTATTTACTGCCCGAGGTTTCCTAAGTTCTTTACAATAGGTAAAAGTATAAAATCAATCAATATGTACTTATATTAAAGGTTGTGATTATTGGATATCAGTCATTGTCATGATTAGTAATTTTAGGGTTAAAAATGGGATATTGAATATAATGATCTTCTCTAACTTTATAGCTTGCCCACTTGGCCTATGGGGACAAGACTGTAACCGAGAATGTAGCTGTAGAAATGGAGGAGAGTGTGACCCAGTCACAGGAAGATGTTCTTGTTTGCCAGGGTGGACAGGAACAGACTGCTCCACTCGTGAGTTTTATTGTTCATATATCTTGATGTAATATCCAAATACAATTTTTGTGAGTTTCGTTGGATGCAGTAACAAATAGTGCAGTGTAATGGTGTATGCTTTGAATGTAAATATTTTTGTTTGTGCCTCCTGCTATATGAAAACCATGTTGCATCTGTTTCAACAAATGCAACGGCATTTATTGTGAACTTCTACAAAAATAGGGTAGTAGTAAATTACAACAAATATTTATAAAATATCTTACAGTTGAATTTCATGTGTCAGTGAGGCATGGTGTATTTGGATTTTTTTTACTATTTTATTTGCTTTTAAAAGCAGTTGGAATCAACACAAAAATTTTAGATATCTAAAAATACTAATACTTTAAAGGTAGTATCTTTTACTTCTATGTTTTTTGTATTTAATTGCATTTACTGCTTCAATCAGCAGTTGTAGAAAGTGTATGAAAAATAAACCTTAAACAACACATAAATGTTACATGGTGGATTTTTCATGAGGCTTATAGGTCTTTTAACAATTAAATGCATGTTGAGCTTCGTACTAAATATCCTCTCACTCCAAAACAAAACTAACTGTAACCACTGTGTACCTTTAGGGAAAAAACACAAATTACAAACTAATTTGAGAGTGTGTTTCTTATTGAATAATTATGTAAACTTAAATTAAGTATTAACCCAATAGCACTTGACAACTGCATTTATAGGGCTTTAGTTTTAAATTGTGTAGCATGAATGAGATTGAGCTCGCATTTTTAAAGTTCTAATGATTTATAAAAACAACTTTTAAAAAAAACACAGTTGAGTAAGATTATTTTGTTGGCATAAAATTTATGCTTAACATAGTTAAAAAATTACCATTGAAAATATAAAGTTAGGTAAACCGAGCATAGAATCAAGTGCTTTTAGTTTTGTTCTCTTTCCTTAGAATGCTATTTTTATTTTACATTATTATGTAGTCTTAAACAAGCATGGAACTAAAAAAATCATATGACTATGGACATTGCTATTGTTAATCAGATTTTACCAAATCTATAGTCTGTACTGGGCTATGTACTTGACTATTGATATACAGTTTACTGTGCTACTTACTCCTGTGCACTAGTTTCTATTACTTATCCCTGTGTGCTAGTTTCTAATACTCTTGTGCACTAGGTTCTAATACTTACTCCTGTGCACTAGTTTCTAATCCTTACCCATGTGTACAAGCTTCTAATATGTACCTTTATGTTAGTTTCTAATACTTAACCCTCTATGCTAGCTTCAGATACTCTTGTGCACTTAATTTTTGCTGTTTGAACTACCTTATAACAATGCTTTATTATACTTTTGGGTATCCCAGTAAGTTAAATCCATTGAATCAATTGGCCTGCCATATTATAAATTATTGTAGGAACTTTATTTTCAATACAAACTTGCTTTTCATTTTTAGTAAGACTGACAAAGAATTTTTTAAGTTATTTAATCTATTAACAACAACTCTCAGTTGATTTTTCTTTTATTATGTTATTTTGTGTTGGTTCACACTATATGTTAATTGTGTGTATAGACATAATTGTGAATTTTTCCTTAAAAATTTCATGTATATTATTTTTCTCATATTTAGCTTGCCCATCTGGGACATTTGGTATAGGTTGCAGCCAGAAGTGTAATTGTCTTAATCGGGGAATCTGTCGTGGTAATGATGGAGTTTGTCGTTGCACCCCAGGTTGGACTGGTCTTCGATGTTCTGAAAGTAAGTCGTATTTCTATTAGTGCAATAAATGTAGAAGTTATATAGACTTAGTGAAAATGTTTTATTTTAGTCATAATAAATTTTAATATTTGTTTGCTGTTGATTGGGTGACTTTGTTTATTAAAGTTGAGATGAATGCAAAGTATTTATATGCTGAATAGTTCTGTAAATATTAACACTTTCCTGTAGGAATTTCTATTTAATGCATTATCTATCTGTATGTGTGAATGTATATATTTATGTGTACATACATATGTATTGTTTTCTTTATCTCAAACTGTTAGTTTATATGTGAAAGAAAAAGTTGAAATTGGTCATTTTGTCATCAACATGAAAATGATAGCAAGTTGGAGGTCTAAATACACAGTTACAGATTTGGTCTTGCAATGCACATTTACAAGTTGGATCTAAAGCTTCATTTGTTATTTTTTTTAATTTAATAAGGGCATTAGGCTTTACTGGATCTGTATGGCTAGCATTGCTAGGATTTTTTATGTATCACCCAATCATACAGTATAATATTGATCATGTAGTGTCTCCCAGTGGCTCAACAGCAAGTATGAAGGCTTATAAAGCTATGAACTGGGTTTTGATACCTGTGGTAGGCACAGAATGGATAGCTCATTGTGCATATGCACATGTGTTCAGTATAAATTGAAAACATTAAAATCTCTTTTAAAAATACATCAGCTAGCTGGAATACCATTAACATTCATTTTCTGTACTTATACAAGTTTGCTTACATAGAAAAAAATGATAAATGTGTATAATAGCTTCTATTGTATTGCTTTCCTCTCATGTTCTCCACAACATTAATCAGATTTTTCTTATGAAATAAATTTTAATCTTTCAACATTAAATGTGACATGTTGAAATGTTTAATTTTATTTTAATGTTTATAAAACAAAATCTGTATATAATTTTTTTTTTTTAGTGTGTCAAGAAGGATTCTATGGAGACCACTGTCTAAAAAGATGTAATTGCTCTGGAGATAACTTTTTCTGTAGCCCAACCCTAGGATGTGTTTGCAAGTATGGATATGAAGGAAAAAACTGTGAGCTTCGTAAGTTATATGTTCATATTTTTGGTTTATTGATTAAGCAAAATTATCCAGCAAATATGTATTCAAATAAGTGAAGTTAAAAACCAGGAGATGATTACAGAAGATACAGTAATTTTAATTTAATTGTAATTTACACTTAATAATCTTAAGCACATATTTTTTTACTTTAAAGAAAAAAAAAAGCCCCCAGTGGCACAGTGGTATATTTATACAGTTACAACACTAGAAACCAGGTTTCGATATCCATGGTGGGCAGAGCACAGATAGCCCATTGTGTAGTTTTGTACTTAATTACAAAAACAAAGCAAAAAATAAAAAATATTAATCTTTAAGAACTGTGTAAGATTTCTTTTTTGTAATTGTAATAACTGCATTTCAAAGACTTTCATTTTCTTACTTATTCATGACTGGTGATTGTGAGAATTTTTTCATTTTCTTATTTGTCCTGCACCCTAGTGGCACAGCAGTATGTCTGCTGACTTACAATGCTAGAAACCGGGTTTCGATACCTGTGTTGGGAAGAGCACAGATAGCCCTTGTGTAGCTTTGTGCATAATGAAAAACAAACAAACAAACTTATTTGTCCTGAAGAATTTGAAGGAACTTCCTTTTTTTTTTTTTTGTTTAGTTAGAATAAACTAAACTTCTAATTTCTTACAAAAAAGGCTTCATTAACTATACAGGTTTTATGTTTTTAACATTTGGGATTTCTTCCAAATTACTCTCCTTAGTTCTTTAACTGGTAGGTTTTAAAATTTTCCCACTTTGATTTTTTCCCTTTACTTATGAGATTCAAGATGCTTCCTGTTTCTTCAGTGGTTGGTTTTAGGAGTTTTCCTCTGCCATATTTTTTATTCATTAGTGAGTTTAAAAAACATTTTTCATATTCTTCAACTTCATGAATGTTAAGTTTCCATAGACTGCTAATTACGTTTACTTTATACTTACCCTACAGCCCAAGATGCAAGAAAACTGCAGTTTAAGTATTTTTTTGAAAGGTTTCTTTTAAAACAAAGTAATTAAAAGTTAGATAATATAAAAATTCAAATTACAACATACATTATAATCTTAATTTCATTGACATATATTGATAGTAAAGTGGTTTAATTACATTTTGAATGTAATGCAGTATCATATGCAGAAAGGAATATATCACGTGATCCTCGAGCTCTGAAAAATTTCGACCTTAAGCAATGGTTCAATCACAGCCACATAAGTTGGCAATGTACACGTATTATCCAAAAGTCCTACAATTGTATTTACTGGGAAAGAGAAATAAAATTTCAAACCCTTGACAGTGGCCACACCCACCTTCTGTAATTTGCCTTGAGATCTACAATGTCCATGTAGTTAATTGACTCAAGTGTATATAGTCATTAGAAAGAGCTCAGAGTATTCTGTACCAATGGTTAATTTGAAATTGGCACACAGTTTTGCTCACAGTGTACATGTAACTACCATTTGTATTGTTGTCTGCTTGATGGACTTTAGCACTTGTGGTGGTTTCTTACCTAAATATGCTATAGATAGAGAGAGACAGTTATATTGTTTTTTGGTCTTACTTTTATATTTTAGTTGTGTGTTTTAAAAATCATATTTGAATGGTTTAATGCTGTTTATGAGTTTAACTTGTTGCCTGGATTGTGAAAGGTTATAAACAAGATGGAGTGTATAAGCACCATCTTGTTTCAGTAATGCATACTTTCACAAAGCCCCATATACATAAGTTGACGAATGGGCATAAATGATAATAGATGAAGAATTTGAAAGGAAAATTAAAAATAAACTATAAGTGGATAGATAAAGATGTGAAATTATGCATATAAGAAAAATACGACTATTCTAATGGATTTCTGTGAAGAGTTGAAAGGTATGTACATATTTCCATTTCATTGCACTTTTCATTGATGATAATATATATAGTTAGTGATATAGTAGAGAAAATGGAAAATAAGATATAAATATTTACCTTTAAAACTTTTCATATTCATTTATGAGGTTCTAGAGATTATACAAATGAAATGTGAAAACTGCAAGATAAAAAAATAGTATTTTTGTACATCATATAAAAATCACCTTGCCAGTGAACTATTCACAGTGAAAGTGCAAATAATTACATTAATTAATGAATGTTTTATTACAAAAATAGAAAATATCAAATTAAATGTTTTATTTTTCTGAAACTACATACTTTTAGGAACATTCTTGCCAAATTTTAAACAATTTCATCTACTAGTGTTATTTTTTGGAACAAAATATGATGTTATCTACGAAAAGAATTAGTAGCCTGTCATCATAGGGTTAAAAAGTGACATTTATTTTTGTTTTGTAAGTGTCTAATAAAATGAATAAAATAAATAACAAAAATGAAATTCCTAGACTTATGGTATTTTATGAAGTGAGTAAATTAAGTGATTTTGTACTTTATTTTATTATATGTGGGGGGATTTTTATATAATAAATACAAGGTTCATAACTGCACCATAGAAGCTCCTATGATTTATCTGTTTTTTTTTTGTGTGTGTTTTTTCAATACACAGGATTTAAAGAAAGTATGGTCAGAACTTTTGAGGATAAAGCACCAACTAACAGTTTAGGAGTGATCGTAGGCGTAACATTGGTAGCAGTATTAATCATTCTTGTAATCTTGCTTATTGTGTACTACCGTCGCAAAGTCAACCGCCTGAAGTCTGAGCTAGTATATGTTACGTGAGTAGTTAAAATTGTGTAGTAACGTATGTTATACCAAGGTCACTTTGTTCTGAGAAGTAACAAATCATGCTTACCCCATTTAAAACTTAACCATTTTTTATTATCATGGACCTTTTTTTACATAAAATATCAAATACTTTTGTAACGATTCAAATGATAAATACATATTTATAGAAAAAGATTTAACTTATGAAATAAAAACAATGGTGATATTTAATGCAGGAAAAAGTGACATATTTTCACTTTCAACAGTTGATGATATTTCTGTAAGTCAATTAGAATTCTAGTGAGAACATAGCTCTCATTTTACATTAATTTAGAGTATTAAATGTCACCACGGCAAGCTGTGTATGGAATATGTATTTTTAAATTTTCGGTATCAGTTATACATTTTTATACCAGGTGAGTTTAAAGGCCTTTCTTTGACAGGCAAATAATTTAGAAATTGAGAAGTATATGAAGATAATTGTTAATAATATTATATGAGGTGTTGTGGGTCTAACCTGTGACAATATCACTGAAACTTTTATTGATATGTGTCATACACTAAGATGTCAATTGTAAAGGTATAGATAATAACAAATGAAGTATTTTAAGCTAAAAATTATGAAAATAAAGAAAAAACAACAACAATTATAAACATGAATGAAGATGGGATAAATATCCTAACACTATTATAAACAATCAATAGCTGTGCTCAAAATGTTGCTCAGATGTGACAAATCCCAATATGGTCACATATTGGTTCCTGTTTTGGGTCTATCCTCACTGTATGTATAAGTAAGCCTGTGGTATGCAGCTGCTGATATACAATTCATATCATCTGGTTTGAAAGATGACATTCATCTGGGAACTGTTTAGCATACAGTCTGGCAGCTGTTCAGGCATCCTGGTGACATTCTCTTCACTCTGGGACAATGTTAAACTATTCTTCAACTGAATAATGTGCCATTATTTAGATGATTTGAGAGTAGCTTAAGCACCTTTTAGATCCTTCATAGGTGCAATAACCAACTTGTGCAAAATTCTGACTTTGCACCTCAGGGGTAGGTTTGTGTAACAACCATTGTTTTGGTCAGATTTCAGATTTTTGTGCATGGAAGAGGTGCATTTATGTCAATAAACCTTATTATTGTAGAGCAGTTTTGGTAATTTTTTATTCAAAATGTTTCATTTGCTAATGTCTACTTATTTGGGTGTATGGTGTGTATTAATAACATTTATAAAGAACATGATGACTTTGAATGATCTAGGTGATATTGCCACAGGGTAGGACCACAACACATCATTCTGTTACACTAACAATTATTTTCCTACATCTCTCCATTTCTGGATTATTTATCTGTCAATGGAGTTCTGAATCATCAGGTATACCCTATTAAAACTGTTGATAGCATTGGTATAAATATAATGAATATAACATTAGTCTTTTTCGATGACGAGGAA